ACGGCGAGTATATAACAAACTCTGTATTTTGAGTGGAAATGTTAGGGGGTCGTCTTATACGCCCAGTCGTCTTATACGCCGGCAAATACGGTATATCACAGGATGGAATACAGAATGTCCCAAAGAATGTAACTATTAGAAATGTATGAAGAAGACTCATTGTAGTGGTGGGGCAAAAGGTATTGACCTACATAACTTTGGAAATGAATAGAATCTGTGGACCCGGGAAAAATAAACTGTACATACACAGTGGACTGTTTTATGAAGTTTTTCCCCTTGGGTTTAGTAGTTCTAAAACCACTCTTTCTGAAATCTGGAATTGAGCAATAAATTAAGTACATACATGGCAGGTAGTAGGAGCCAGGTTGCTCATGGTTGGAGTGAGAAGTTACAGAGAAGCAAGTGGAGGTGACAGCATCCACGTGATAATGGCTCAGGCTGGAGATAATAGTATAAATTCATCTTTAGCTTAATGTGGAAATAGACAGTTCCACACAGAAATCTTAAGACTATTGTGTATACACAGGTTGGAATACATGCATATATTTCCTTGCATTGTCAGCTGAGCACATTTAGCTCCCAGTGCAAGTTTTTTTTTAACACCATTCTGTACTGAAAGGAACCAGAGCCCTTTGAAGAAATGGCTGATTAAAGGCTTGACTGCTACTTTCATTTGTCTTGTGGACTTCACAAGCCACTCCAACACCTAAGATCAGCTGAGATTCTCAACCTGACAAGGAAGGGTCTGGTCCCCCTCACTCTGCTGTAGTCCTCAGAATGGCCACAAGGAAGAGGCGCTAATAACATTTGTCAAGCAAATGCCCTATTTTACTAAAAATACATTAAATTTTACAAAAACAGCATTTATCCAGATCTCTTGGTCCCTTTCCTAACCAATAAAAGGGGTAGGTACTGAGGGAGCTATGAGGACAGTGTCTCCCTTCCAAACACTAGGGCTGCCCTGGGCACCCCAGACCCCTAGTCCAGTGTACAGGAGGTGGGGTTAGTGGAATAACCTCCCCACCACCACCCAGGGAACCAGCACCTAGAGCCTGTCCAGAGCCCTCATCACCATCCTAGGTGAGGGCCCTGCCAGCACCATGGACATGCTGACACACAGCCTGAGGGCCCAGACAGGCCCTGCCTGGGAGGCTCCCAGCCTCAGGAATTGGAGACTGAGTACCCACAGTGGTTGTGCTCAGCCTCGCCCAAGGTCAGCATTAGTGACAGGCTAGGCTTCCGTTCCACTTCCTCCTCCTCCAGGCAGCGCTGCAGGGGCCGGGTTTTGAAGAAGTCAGAGATGTAGCGAACCTGAGAGACCAGAGGAAGGCAAAAATTGGCTTGGCAGGGGTGGGGACAGAATCCAGGGGGTAGGGAGGAATGAAACCCTGGGAAGGGAGTGGGGGTGGTGAGAGGTGGTGGAACCCAAGAGGGGATGGGTAATGTGGAGTGGGGAGGGGGGGCCAATGTGAAAATCAGAACCTGGGATAGGAACAGTGGGCTTTTAGAGGGAAGATGGGGGTGGAAAGGACTAGGGATCTGGAAAAGAAAGAAAGGGAGCAAGTGGACCAAGAAGCTCACAGTGAGGCCGGCCACCAGTGCCCCCTGCAGGAGGCCCACAAGGACATCACTCCAGTGGTGTTTGTAGTCAGACACGCGGGAGTAGCCCACATAGAGGGCAAAGGCCACCAGGAAGAACTGCATCGTGGGCCGCAGCAGCCGTGCCCACTTCCAACAGAGCCGTGCCTGAACATAGAGCTGGGGGCCAGAGGGTGGCCATCAGCCCAGGAGTCTGTGGAGTTCACCCCACACCCACTGCACAGATGGCAGCCCTGAGGCCAGGAGCCCCAGGGCCTCCAGTGTGTGAACAAACTACCTAGCCCCACCCATTAGCTCCTCCACCCACATTGTACAGATGCAAAAACTGAGGCCCAGGGAAGGGGAGTGAGTTGGCCACAGTTCCACACCAAGCAAGTCATGGAAAAACCAACTCACCGCCAAGAATATCATGCAGTACATCCCAAAGGAGGAGTGTCCGGAGTAGAAAGATAATCTAAAAAACGAAGGGCAGTGTGCATCAGGAAGGCCGCCGCGCAGAGCACAGAGCCCAAGGGCCGATGCTCAGCAACCAGGGGACTGATGAAGCATGTCTGGTCCTGTCCCCTCCCACCACACTTCCCACAGTCTGAGGGAAAATTTCACATGGAAACTTGGCTGGTGTTAGACATAATGGGAGTCACAAAAGGAGAGGGGAGAGAGAGAGAAGAGGGCAGATAGAATATTTGAAAAAATAATGGCTGAAAAATCCCCAAATATGATGAAAAACATTAATCTACATGCCCAAGCTCAATGAACTCCCAGTAGGATAAACTCAAAGACATCCACACAGAGACACATTATAATCAAGCTATGAAAAGTAAGGGAGATTCTTGAAAGCTAAGAGAGAAGGGACATATTGTATACAAGGGACCCTCAATAAGATTAGCAGCTGATTTATTATCAGAAACCATTCAAGCCAAAAGGCACTGGATTACATATTCAAAGAACTGAAACCAAAAAACCTGTCAACCAAGAATTCTATGTCTGGCAAAATTATCCTCTAAAACTGAAGGAGAAATTAAGACATTGACGGATAAACAAAGACCCACAGAGTTCAATGCTTATACACAAGCCCTACAAAAAACAGTGAAGGGAGTCTTTTTTGAGAAGTAAAGGATACTAGACAGTAACTCAAATCCACACAAACACACAAAAAACACCAGTAAAGGTAAATACAAAATGTCAGTATTGATGTATTTTTGGTTTATAATTCCTGTTTTTTCCTCTACAATTAAAAAATAAACAAACTGCATACACGCTGACAATGTTAACTGGACTTATTTCACTATATACATCCACAATTCTTTGCACAGTAAATGCTTATTTAACAGAAAAGGCAATAATGGAGAAAATGAAAAACAAAGCAAAACTATACATACATACATATATATATATAT